AGCTGCATGCTCTTCCATGCTACAGTTTGTCTTGGGTTCTTAATGAAACAGTCACCTAAAACCTGTGCTCGTGTTTTGGTCTGTGGTGTTTTCTTTCTGTCGAGCTGGTTGTTTGGAATTGGAATGTTAGGAAAAAGCATTTACCCTTGTGTTTAATAGAAGCATTGAGTACAGCAGAATCTGAAAGGAGACTTTAAGCCATAATACAAAAGTTTTCAAATACATAGGGAAAGTAACATTTGAACGTAATCTGAAATGGCTATTCATACTGATAAGGAATATTTTTCAAAAGTTGATCTAATCAGAGGATTGTTGGAACTGATTTCCTGGCAAGTCAAAAATTGTGTGATTTCAAAAAGAATGTACATACTACATATGCAATAACAAGTTATGTGTTTTACATATCCAGTATTACCCTTTTAGAGAGAATACAATCAGTTAGAGGAAGTCTGACACGTCTTGTAGTATCAAACTGAAGCTCAATCCTGAGAAGACGGAGGCCCTGTTGGTTGGCGGATTGGGCTTCGGGGAGGGTGAATTGAACCTAGTCCTGAATGGGGTTGCACTCCCTCTTAGGGACAAGGTTCGCAGCTTGGGAGTGCTCCTCGACGCAGAGCTTTCACTGGAAGCTCAGGTGACAGCGGTGGCGAGGAGCGCTTTCCTTCAGCTTTGGCTGATCCATCAGCTGCGCCCCTACCTGGAGTATGACTGCCTGGCGACAGTGACACACGCGTTGGTGACTTCCCGCCTTGACTTCTGTAACGCGCTCTACGTGGGGCTACCCTTGAAGACGGTCCGGATACTTCAATTGGTTCAAAATAGAGCTGCCAGGCTGCTGACGGGGACTGGCATTATGTTCACATGACTCCTGTCCTCCGTCAGCTTCACTGGCTTCACATTGAAGTCTGGGCCCAATTCAAGGTGTTGGTGATGACCTTTAAAGCCCTAAATGGCTTGGGTCCTGGTTACCTGAAGGAGCGCTTACGTCCATATATGCCCACCTGCCCCTTGAGATCTGCGGGGGAGGCCCTTCTCCGGGAACCCTCCGTGAAGGAAATTAGGAGGGTGAGCACTCGGAGGAGGGCTTTCTCTGCGGTGGCGCCCAATCTATGAAATGCGCTCCCCAGAGAGGTCCACCTGGCGCCGTCGTTATTTGTTATTCGGCGCCAGGCGAAGACCTTTTTATTCAAATGTTATTTTAATTGTTAATATTATTTATTCATTTTATTCTTTGGCCAGGGCGACTTAATTTATATTGTTAATTTATATTATTCTATCTTGAAGTTTATTTATGGTTGTGAGCCGCCCCGAGGCTTTGGCGAATGGAGCAGCATAGAAGTCTCCTAAATAAATAAATAAGAAGCAAGAAGTCTGCTCCCCAGACCTCAGCATGCCAAACATGGTCAACTTCTTGTTCCAGTTTTTATCAAAAGTTCAGAAATAGTCATTTACTTTTCAGGCTGAGCACTGGTGTTAGGGCAATTGAAAACTCCCGTTTTCCTTATTCAGTATTCTCCCCTGCCCCCCCCAACCCCCCACCCTTCAGTAAAGCTTTGCAAGATGTTGATTTTAAATTTAACTGGTTGCTGCAATGAACTGATTATCTGTAGGCCGAATGACCCATGCACATTTCTTTAATCAACCCTAGCTTTATTTGGAAAATAGAGCAATGAAGCAGCTTAACATAGCTTTCATTGAAGGGCTTCATGAGAACACGGAGAATGAGGCTGGAGCAAAATGAAAGCATTTTGCTTAACTGCTTTCTTCTGCATGACTATACATCTTGTTCCTTGGTGTGTGTGCTGTGACAGGTGACTCCCTTCAGGATGGTGGCTCAGGAATTGCATCCCTGCAGCTTCAGAGTGAGGCGGGGGTTTAGTGTTAACACCTCTAGGAGCTTGGAATATTTCATGACACTACCATGCTGACAACATGAACTGTTGGCGTTTTAGAAGCTACGAGGCTATCACTCAATGAGCTTTCCAGCCATTAATATGTTCTGTGTTCGCTTGGAACAATCTGTAATCATTTCACAATTTTTCATGCAACACTTGTTACTAATGTGTTATGAGACATGTTCACTGAAGCTCCCTTTGTGTCTGTACCAGAATGTGACCAGTGCAGAGTCACTCACTCTTGTTAGCACATAGTGTTCTTATGCCCACTGCAAACAAGGCCCATTATGTGATCAGAATGGTCAGGATTCACCGTGTGAGCATGTTTTTGTAGTTCTTTATGCAATGCTTTTCTTCTTTGTGGAAAGACAGGGTAGCCACCCAGTAGATCGGCGCCACATCTGGGCTCCCTCAGACTTTGTTGGAGCTACAAGGGCAGGGCTTCAGCCTGGGATGGGATATTTTCCTTTTAACTTCCCAGCTTATGCAGATTTGTTTCTCTATTTGCTTATTTTGCTGTATTTCTGGTCACAAGGGTGGTAGGAAAGAAGATCTATTCAAAGTATTGAGCGAAACTTGTATGTACACATCCTTGAGGAAAGGAGAAGGGAGTATCAGTGGACTAGTGCAGCACTCACCATAGGAAAATCCTCCAGTGCTCTTTTGCTTAGCTCTTCCTCCCCTCCACCCCCCAACCAGTCTCTGTACTGTGGAGCTGGCAATTGCTGCAGTCAGCTGAGCAGCTGAGACTAAGGGGAAGCTGGGAGGCCCTCTGCAATGTGCAGGGACTGCATATTTAAGATCCACCCAGAAGCCGCCTCTTGGTCAAACATTTATGTATTTCTAACACTACATTTTTGAATGGAAGTTGTTGAAGGAACTCTGAACTGTTGCTTGCCAAAAGTTTATCTGAGACCCAGATTTCACACATCTCTTCAGCAATGCAGATTTCTAGTTAATTCTCATCCCTCTTAGTTTTGGTATGATGACATCAGTTTTCTCTTCTTCCCTGTTTCAAACGTAATAAAGTCGTGAGTCTTTTCTCATGCCCATGCATTGTCATGGATGTCCAATAAAAAGCCATTTCATAGGCAAAACTCTTTTTCATCCCAGAGAAGTACTTTCTTTTCTTGCTAAAAGAACTTTTGTAATTAGAGGGATGCTGACATCATTCCAGCTATGTAATTGGGATATGTGTTGATAGATTCTTAAAGAGAAATGTGTGATGAGAAGAATAGCTTAAGGCATAATGGGCAATTGCTTATTTACATATGTGTCATGAACTTGCATAACAGGTGATGTACTAAATCTTTCCTTATGCCACAATAAAGTGTTTGGCCTTTAAGGTGTTCTATTACTCTTTGATAATGAAGGACACTGCACACAAGATTCCACAAGACATTTTTTTATTTTTTTATTTATTTTTCAATTTATATCCTGCCTTTTTCCTACAAAGGGCTCAAGGCAGCTTACATCATTCTCCAATTTTGAGTTGGATCTAGTCAAAAGTCATGAGTCTGCAAGAGAAAGGACTCAGCTTTGGGAGATCCCACACACCACAGTGCTCTCCATTGAGCAGGGTGTCCTGATAGTCTTTGTAGGGTTTTCAGAGGACTGGATGGGCTGTCGTGAAAAAGAATAGGTGGAGAAGTCCACTTCCGTCTACACAGTTGATTCAGTATAAATCTGAATCCAACCCAAAGTGTTCACTGAAAAAGATCCACATGAAACCTGTCATGTCCTGGAAACCTTTATGTACCGGAAAGCCGCAACTAAATGTGCCCATATATAATAATAACGTTCAATGATCTGTATATGGGTTCTTGATTTCCTCCAAAAGGCATTCCATGCTGCCATTGCTGCCATTAATTGCTGCCGTTCTTGCACTCTTGTGAAATAGCACTTGAGCTAAGTGGGTTCTGATGAAGTTTGCTTAGCTTGGTATGGCAAATCATTTGCTAGGTTTGGAGATACTATCTCACCGCCAGCTATCTGCCTAGACCTCCCAAATTTTCCTGTGACAGAAAAGGAGTATGGGCACTATTTAGAGAGAAACTTCTGCATTTGCTATTTTCTCCCATTTTCCTTTTAAAAGCACTTGTACCATTTCTCCAAACATCCTCTGAGGCTAGTCAGTATGAGGGTTTTGTGGATTCAGCTATTGAAGGGGAAACCCTGAGGAATTTAGCTGCAATAGTGGGTAGTGTGTATGCACCTTGCCAGACTTGTGGACTTTGATCCACCATTTCTGTAAGCACTGCAGTTCCTTTCCTGCCGTTCATTATAATATGAGTGTCATAGCAAGTCTTTAATGGGTTATCTGAGAGCTACATTCTGTGTGTGTCAAGAATCAAAGTCCACCTTCGAAGTTGGGTGGGGAGGGAAGAGGAGAGAGTATGGTCAACATCAAAGACTGCTTTGTAGACCCAGCTTCCCTTCAACCCTATAACCAGTTTTTAGTTCAAACAGCAAGAACCAAATATTGAAATTTCATTCTGAAAGTTTTATACATTTTTGAGCGTGTAGGGGAGAACTTTCAATCTCTGATAGGTAGCAGTTAAATTTCCCAGTTACACTACTGGATTATATTTTAAAATGTCAAACTTAAGCAAATTCCATAAGTAACTATTGCTCTGCTGGTAATGAAGAAGGAGTTAAAGAGTTAAATGTCTGACTAATGGGAATCCTAATTAGTAATCAAGCTACTGGAATTTTACTAGGCATCACACACATTTTTTCAAATATGTCTTGGTAACTATCAGAGTTGGAATACCATTGAAAATAGTTTAAAATTATAACTTAGGATTCTTCGGAAGTTAGATTCAAAAGCAATTTTGAGGAATTGTGGCATATGTTCAGCCTTGACCATGCTCTCAGTTACATGGCCATGGATTAATCTGGAATATCTTCGCAACCCTTTTCTATGTGTTGGTCACCTGCAGTGCCTTCACTCCTCTTTCACCTTCAGAGATGGTGGCCATCCTGGGTCCCCAAATATACATTGTCCTGTCCCCAAATATACATCAGCCATGAGAAGTGGTGTTTTAAATGTTTAGTTGAACCTATTGCAAATTAGCAGTCTCACTGGTTAATTTTCTATTTCAGGTTCATGTTGGGGAGAGGCCTGAAACGCAAGCTGAGTGATTATGAAGAGAACATGGCTGGTGTGTCAAGTGCCTTTGATTCCAGTCGTAACCTGCCATATCAGCTCAAAAGGCAGCTGGTGCTCAATGTGTGCCTCGCCAAACTACAGACATACAAGATGCTGGTGGAACCAAATCTGCACCGCTCTGTCCTTATAGCCAACACAGTCAGGCAAATCCAGGAGGAGATGAGGCAAGAAACTAGCCAGCAAGTCAATCTAGGCAGTAGTCTCAGCACCAGTCCTTCTGGTTACCTTGGCCTGGATTTGTTTGGAATGCCTTCACACCTTTTTCCAGGCATTAATCAGCAGGAAACAAATAGCTATGAACCCCGGCCTATGGAAGGCCCAATTGAAAACAGCTTACTGATGGTTTCAGATAATGACATGTCATCAGCCATTTCTTCTATTCTGAAAGACTTGGACTTCATGGAGGATGTGAGTCCCCCTACTTACCTGGCTGCATCTGGAGATGATCAGTTCAAGCCTTCTGAAACACCAGGTTTTAGGTTAGAAGATGACAGACAAGACTTGAAGGGAGTGGAATGTGCATTTGGTTCCTTTGAAATTTCAAACTCAACTAGTTACTTGAAAGACTTGGCTATTGATGACATCTTTGAAGATATTGACACTTCAATGTATGATTCAGACTTCGACTGTCCCTCACTAGCTCCTTCAAGAGCATCGCCTGTGGCGACCATGGAAGAGACCTTGAAAACTTTCCCTTCCTGCAATTCTTCCTCAGCAAGCAACATCCCAATCTGTAGAAGTGATCTCAGTGATTTGGACCATATCATGGAGATTCTTGTGGGGTCCTGATACTTTCTTTGAAAACCCAAAGATTTTTTTCCATGCTGCCACACAATTCTGATTTGAAGACAACGTGGGGGGCGGGGGAGCAAGCTGCGAAGCATTAGATCAGAATGGCAGCACCAGGCATTATCTTTGAATGGTTCTCAAAGCCTCTCCAAAAGTCATATAGATAAAAACCAAAAAGAAAAAGAAAAAAAAGTGGCAGGTTGTCATATAAAATGGCATATTTATTAAATCAATCGTGCAATTTTTAAAGTCCTTCTAGGGTATATATGAGGTATGTGTCTCTTACACAACCTTGTTCCCATGAATCTCACTTTTCTAGTGTGCAATTTTTAATCTGCCCGAAGAATTTGCATAACAGCAATTAATTTTCATAAGAGTGGAAAACAGCTCCTGAAGTCAAAAGATTCTATTTTTAATATTGACTACATTGTGTTAGCATTCACTGGAGTTGCACACTTGGATTTTGCAGCCTCAGTAAATACAGATATATTTTAAAGATATTTAAAGAACTACAGATATCTTCCCTTTTGTTGAAGGAGCCTCAAGATGCTTGGCAGCAAAATTCCTTGCATTTTGTAAAGCATTTGAAACTATTTATTTTTGTAAATTTTATAGTGTTTTTACATTTTACTACATTGTTCTATCCTAGTTTGGAAATGGATTTCTGGTTGGATGTGGCTGGCACTACCTCTATAAGCAGAAATGCTTTAACTCTTTCCAGTGCTTTGTCTAACACTGTAGACTTTTTTTTTTTTTTTGGATGGTATTTGTGGTGGTAGAAGCAAGAAACTTGTCAGCAATTTGGCTGGTGAAATTTTATGGTATTTAATTGTACACATTTATAAATGTAATTTATATGTATATTGTCCAATTTTAAAACTTTGTCAGTATTATGTGCATCAATTTTGGGGTAATATGGGTTTTTTAAATTTAGTATTTACTGTACAGTTAGAACTATTTTAACTCTGCAGAACATTGTATATTTGCAACACAATTTAAAATTTTATGTGCAATATACCATTTAAACAGAATTTTGCACATCTTGTTATATAAGGAATGCATGGAATCCAAATGGCAGGCAAAAAATCAAGACAGAGTACCTGAGGTGTACCCTACACACAGTCTGCTGGCAACTCTGTGTAAGCCCTGTGTTAATTGAATGGGACTTGCGTAAGATCACAGCTCTTACCTTGCACAATTCGCTTGTGTTGCGGAGGGCAGTTCTACTTTCAATGAATATGCTCAGTAAGGATTGTATTTCTTAGGTATTTACTCTTTCCTCACATGAAGTGCTAATACTCAGTCGGAACTGAGCAAACCTTAGGATCATCTCACCATTGGAGGAGTAACAATCCACCTGGCAGTGATTCTGCTGCAGTTTCGTGAAGCAGGCTTTATCCCATCCTAAGGCTGGCTTAGTGTCAGCACCAAGCGTGCTTATGTAATTGTCCCAGCCTGTCTTGGTGTCACTGAGTGGGCCTGGCCTGCATTGCTATTGCCAAGTAGCTGCATCTCTGCATGTCAGACCAGGCCCAGCCCCATTTCCTTACTGGGCAGCACTGGCAGGCTTCTTGCTGGATCTGCGGTTTTGGTCCTTATTTTCTCAGCATGCACTGTGACAACCACCTAGCACAGAAGATGGATCTGGGAAGCCTGCTTGAACAAAAGAAGCAGAACACTGGTCTGACAGATGTAACAGTGCTTGTACAAATGGGTGCGAGAAGCCCATCCTTTTGAAATCTTTTGTGTTCTTTTCCATTCTTTATCAAAAGCTTTATACCTGCAGCAATTCTGCCCAGCCCCCAAGAACAGGTAGTGTCTCAGTGAGGGGTGGAATTTTTTAATAACAAAAGCAGTGAAGTGGCCAGGTTTGCTGATGACATCTGATTTTAGGTGGTTAAAACAAAAAGGGATTGTGATACACTCTAGAATGATCTCTCCAAACTAGGAGGATGGGTGTCAAACTGGCAAATGAAGTTCCTTGTAAGCAAGTGTGAAGTAGTGCAGACTGGGGCAAAACGTCTGAACTTCAAGTATCAGTTGAAAGGAGTTAGCAGTGATGAACCAAGAAAAGGGGCCTTATGGCTGGAGTGTGCAAAACATGATGGTTGCAAAGCAGTGTACATCTGTGAAAAATTAGAACTGCATGTGAGGCACAATCAGGAAAGGAAATGTAACTCATACCGCAAATACTGTACTCTCCTGCATCTATGGTGTGATCACACCTAGCTCACTGTGTATAAGTCTGGTCCCCACACCTAAAGAAGCATTTATTTGCCCTTTTCTGCACTTTTGAAAAAGGCAAATAAAATGGTCAGGCTGCTGGAACAGCTGCCCTTTGAGGAATGGTTACAACAGCTGGGATTGTTTAACTTACCGAAAGGCGAGTAAGGGGAGGGAGGATAGAGGGCAGGAAGGCCGCTGTTGCCCTTCTGTCCTGCTTGCGGTTGGCGTGCTCCTGTGTGAGCAGCGTGGTGGACTAGATCGCCCCTTGGTCTGATGCAGAATGGCTGTTCTTACGCTCTTAACATTCTCCTGGTAGTTTTTGTTCAAAAAAAGTACATCACAAAGGGGCAGCAAAAAATGTTAGGCAACCCATGTCCCCAAGCAATGATCCTAGTCGTGAAGTAAACGATTTGTGAAGACGTATGAGGTACTTTTCATGTAGTATATGCATTGGCTAATCTTTATTCCAAATGTGTTACTGATGTCCAGGCAGGTTCAGAGTAGGTATACACCATTTACAGTTTATGGAAGTTGAGACTGAAAAGTTCCTCCTGCCAGCCCTTATCTCTTTGGCAGGATCCAGGCAGGAACCATCTTAACTTGCAGTAGATGCCACTCCCCCCCCCCCTTCAGCAGCCCTGCTGCCCATCAGGCTCCTACTGCAGTACCAAGCAGCAGCTTCAGGCCCTCTCCCCACCCCACCTTCCATGGGGCTGGGTAACGCTGGTGTATTTTGTACTGGGGTCTGCTGATGAAGTTTGGCCACTGTGTACAATGCAATGTTGTGCAGCTGATGTATCATTGGACATGGAGGGGCACTGTGTTTTGAGAAAAGGTGACAACAACATGGTCTCACTTGACCTAAAGAACTTTGCTAGAGCGACTAGAGGCAGGTCTGAGTGGTGGCAGGCATGTGATGATATTGCACTTGCCAGGGGAAGGGGGAGGGGGGATTGGCTGTTAGGGTCTGCCTAGAGAATATTGGTGGTCGGCATGAAAGTGGCACCATGCTGAAATTCAAGCCCCTCTGCCTGGGGTTAGTACTGCAGGAATTTTCCATTTTCACATTTAAGAGCTGTCTTGCATCTCCACTATGTAAAGAAGCATTATAGAATGGGATTTATTAATACGGTTTATTCATCATTCACTTTATACTTCTACTGGTATAAGTACATTGCCAGATTAATCAACTTTCCACTCCCACCCTGCTGCTCTTCCACCAGAATAGTGCACCTGCTGTGGTAGAAAGTTTATTCTTGGGTCATAATGACTCAGCAGTGATGCATTTTGGGACAAAAGAGGGGTAGCTTAAAGAATGAACTTGGTTGTTACCAACAAAGCAATCAACATCATGGTATGCCTGTAGAATTGACAGGGGAGGCGATTCCATAAGTTATATGGAGAAAAATTGGATCCTAGCAATTGCTGGTGCATGTGGACACATATCTGTACTGCTTTGTTACCCATTTCCTTTTATACTTGCCTCTGATTGTTCAAGGGACATTACCAAGGATCAGCAGGGCTTGTAAAATGAAACAAAACCTTGTGTGATAATCAAAATGAGCAAAATACATTCATGCTTTGGTTATAAATCGGAGATGGTTTCATTTATACAATCCTGGTTCTCCTGTCTGCCCAGTGCTACTCATGGCTGAGCCACATCCCTCAACTAATGCAAACTCAATCCCCTTTTGTTGGCACAATGCATAGTTTGGCAGTTGAAATGTATTCTTTATGCATAGGATTTGCAGCTGGATCTAAAATATAGCTGTAGACATTTTGGCAAAATATTGTTCATTTCTGGTATAATGGGGTTAGGTAAAAAGAATGTACAGAGACTCTGCATAAATGCTTCTTTGTATGTACATGAATCTTGAAAATGGTAAGGGCCTTCTGCACTGTGATGAAGCAGACTTGTGGTTAAATAATATTTTTAAAATTCCTGTGATAATAAATATTTCAATCTAACCTGTTTTTATCTACATGTCAGTTTTGTTAAGATAGATATATTTGCACACACCACTAATTTCAGTCATATAATGTAAATGCCTAACTCTTGGTCAAGCTGCCCTGGCAATGGATTTCTCCCTGGCCTTGATATTATCTCCAGCCTGCTGCCAGTATTTGCCTCCCACTCTGAGGTAAGAGGTGAGGGATGTTCTCCTGAAAGGACAAACATGCATGTTACCTTGAGAGGAATCTGAGGTCTTCGGCTTGCTCTCTCATCCTTCCCCTTTGTTTAAAAGCTGTGTGTGTTATATATTGCTCTCCTACCAACTTTGACAATTTTAGATGATTCCAGCAGCTTAGAATAACAGCTACCCTCACTCTTGCCGCCTCATATTACAGTTGTTACTGCAACAAGGGTTGCCATCATGTAGTGGTCAGCCCTGCCAGTTGCTACCAGGAGTACTGAGCAGGATAGGGGATCTCCACTGTGATCCCTGCTCTCTACCCTTAGCACTTGCTAACCGGCCCGACCCATGAACGTGGACACACTCTGGACCTGGTTTTCTCGACGGGGCAGGAAGAGGGTGGTCTGAGGGTGAGGAATTTATGCTTGACTCCCCTGTCATGGTCAGATCACTTCCTGGTGAGGTTTGTGCTTGAGAGCGACCTCTCCCTCTGCAAGGGTGTGGACCCGATTGTGTGGGTCCGCCCCCGGAGCCGGATGGATCCGGATGGATTCCTGAAGGCCCTGGGGGAGTTTCCGGCTGACAAGACTGGTGCTCCTGTCGAGGCTCTGGTTGAACTGTGGAATGGGGAGATGACCAGGGCTGTAGACACGATCGCTCCTAAGCGTCCTCTCCCACCGGGCAGAGCCCACTCTTCCCCTTGGTATACACCTGGATTGCGGGCAATGAAGCAGGCTGGGAGACGGCTAGAGTGTAGGTGGAGGAGATCACGGGATGAATCTGACCGAACACACTTGAGAGCCCATTATTGGGCCTATGCTGTGGTGGTGAGGGCGGCAGAAAAGAGTTTCTTTTCCGTTTCCATTGCCTCCTCAAAATGCTGTCCAGCAGAGCTTTTTTGAGTGGTGCAAGGCTTGGTTCGTCCAGGTCCGAAGGAAGACCTGGTTCCACCCTCAAAGGCCCACTGTGACGACTTTGCCATGCATTTCAGGGAGAAAATTGCTCAGATTCGTCACGAGCGAGACACCACTAGTGAATCAGAGGTTTCTGGAGAGACACCAATGCTGCTGTCTGGTCCAAAATTATTGGATGAATTTCAGTTATTGCAGCCTGATGATGTGGACAAGGTGCTTGGACGAGCACGTCCCACCACTTGCCTATTGGACCCTTGCCCATCTTGGTTAATAAATAATTCCAAGCACGGGATTGGGATCTGGATCTTGGAAGTGGTTAACGCTTCTCTGAGGGAGGGTCGGGTGTCTGCCCCTTTAAAGGAGGCGGTAGTCTGACTGGTCCTGAAGAAAGCATCACTGGATCCAGAGATGGCCAGTAATTATAGACCAGTGGCCAACATCCCGTTTCTGGGCAAGGTGTTAGAGCGGGTGGTGGCGGGACAACTCCAAGCTCTCTTGGATGAAACTGATCTGCCTTGGCCGCCCTGTATGATGACCTGTGCAGGGAGAAGGACAGGGGGAGTGCATCCCTGTTGGGTCTCCTGGACCTCTCAGCGGCTTTCAATACCATCGACCATGGTATCCTTCTGGATAGGCTAGCAGGATTGGGGGTCGGAACCACTGCTTTGCAGTGGTTCCACTCCTATCTCAATGGCTGATTCCAGAAGGTGGTGCTGGGGGACTGTGGCTCTGCACCATGGCAGCTATGGCATGGAGTACTGCAGGGGTCCGTTTTGTCCCCTTTGCTGTTTAACATCAGTGAGGCAGTGGCTGTGCCGAACCGGTGCCTGGCTGAGGTAATGGGCTGGATGAGGGCCAATAAACTGAAGCTCAATCCAGACAAGACAGAGGCCCTGTTGGTTGACGGATAGGGCTTCGGAGAGGGTGAATTGAACTTAGTCCTGAATGGGGTTGCACTCCCTCTTAGGGACAAGGTCCGCAGCCTGGGAGTGCTCCTCCACCCAGAGCTTTCATTGGAAGCTCAGGTGACAGCAGTGGCGAGGAGCGCTTTCCTTCAGCTTCGGCTGATCCAACAGCTGCACCCCAACCTGGAGTACGACTGCCTGGCAACAGTGACACACGCGTTGGTGACTTCCCGCCTTGACTTCTGTAATGCGCTCTACATGGGGCTACCCTTGAAAACGGTCCGGATACTTCAATTGGTTCAAAATAGAGCTGCCAGGCTGCTGACGGGGACTGGGCGTTATGATCACATGACTCCAGTCCTTCAGCTTCACTGGCTTCCCATTGAAGTCCGGGCCCAATTCAAGGTGTTGGTGATGACCTATAAAGCCCTAAACGGCTTGGGTCCTGGCTACCTGAAGGAGCGCTTACATCCATATACGCCTGCCTGCCCGCCCCTTGAGATCTGCGGGAGAGGCCCTTCTCTGGGAACCCTCCGTGAAAGAAATTAGGAGGGTGAGTACTCGGAGGAGGGCTTTCTCTGTGGTGGCGCCCAATCTATGGAATGCGCTCCCCAGAGAGGTCTGCCTGGCACCGTCATTTGTTTTTCAGCGCCAGGCGAAGACCTTTTTATTTAAACGTCATTTTAATTGTTAATATTATTTGTTTATTTTATCTGGCCAGGGCGACTTATTTTATATTGTTAATTTGTTTTATACTTTGAATGTATTATATTTTAATTTTATGTTGTGAGCCGCCCCGAGGCTTCGGCAAATGGGGCGGCATAGAAAACTTTTAAATAAATAAATAACATTATAGCAGGAAAATGAGCTTCCCAGGGTTACTGTCTTCACCCACATAGCAGTGGCAAATTCAGCATGTTAACTTTTAGCAACTAACAACTAATGGGGAAGTGCTCCATTTATCACACTAAGGTTTCCTTTTGTGCATTTCAAATGTATTAATGAGTTAACCTTGTGATTAACTCACATGTTCATCTTTACTTACACCATTTGATCTGTTAGAAAGTGTGTGGTTTGTCACTCTTTGGGCATTTTTTAAGCAGGTTCCAATTAAGAGCAGAACACAGCTGCAGAATACCCAGCAAGTTTCACTCCACATTATAGGCCATGCGGTTAAAGAAGCCCGGCCTGATGCTTTTTGTAAAGCGATGTCTTCGGGAAGAGGTTTTTCTCATTCTTTATGTACTTCTTCCTGTTCCAAATTGCTCCCAGCTGTGCTTTCTCAGAGTTCTAGAGAAGCACTAAACAGGTAGCTATCAATGTGGGCCATATGGCCCCCATGCAGTATTTCTAGGGGATGCAGAGGGAAAGGACCTTTTTTCCAGGTAACAGCAACTATGAGGGTCACAGAGGTGAAGCAGGCCATGAGCAATAAATGGTTTTACCTACTAATGGTTTTACCTTTGCGCTGAACAACATTAAAGCATGGGAGGGGAAATACAGTAGAGGAGGGACAGCATAAATGGCTAGCTGGAAAAGAGTGAAGCATGATCTGGGTGGCTTCCCTGTAGAACCTCCAGCAGCAAATGGCTGAGTTGCTATGACACAGAATCCAGCAGGCACACTGCTGGGACATTTGCAGTCTACTTTGAGAGACAAGCAAAAGTAGTCAGATTTTCAGAGTAAAGATTAATCTGGCAGGAGAAAATCTTTGGTCTCCTTTACAATCCAAATAGCTCCTCAACAACATGCAGCACAGTACAGGAAAAGCGAGGTCCACTTAGGACCAACTCTTGGAATGGGACCACTGTTCAGTGGCAGAGTACACGTTTTGCAGAGAAAAGGCCCAGTTAAAAGGATGATGGAGCCCAGGAAATAAAGGCCCCAGAAAGTAGCTGTCAAGAAAAGATAAATAAAATTTGACAAGATAAAATAAATCCAAGCTGGTAGAAGGCAGTTCCGTATTCAGAAATTCCACTGAAATCAGCAGGATGTCTGAAATTGTCACCTGTACAGCAGCTACCAGAGTTCCAGTAGAAAACAACTGGAAGCAAAACATTGGTATTAATATTTTATTAAAGGCGGTGTTACAAAAAAAAATCAGTGCAGACTTGTTCTTCATTATGTGTCCTGTAAAGGGTCTGGATTTTTCAAACTTCCAGTCAGCAAGGCTCCTCCCACACATGTGCGGACAGGTTCCCACATGCATGGGAGAGCTTGTAATCTTTTCCACCACATGTTTTGGCCCATCCATTACAAAGCAGTTACTACACAAGGCTACTGGAAGTTGAACTGAACAGTTGCTATTAAAATTAGTACATAAAAGTGTCTTCCATATGGACTAGAGGACCAAACAGGTTTTACTTCCAAACTGACAACTCAGCTCACAGAGATCTTAACTCCAGTTCAATGTAAACTAAGCTGCGTTCACACTGGCATTTGTTTACTGCAGTGCTGGGACAGGCCCTTGGCTCAGCCATCACTTGTCCTGGCTCCAGGACCAGTCCCAGTATGTGGCCTGAAAGGCCTTAAAGGATTTCACACATCTTCAAAATGTAAAGTGGTTAATAGAAATATAAAACACAAGCAGGAGAATCCATTTGCCTTGTCTGTGTGACAGAGAGTTGCAAGTACCTTAATGGAACAGAAGGGATGGAGAAAGTTTGGAAAGCAAGCAATTCTCAACCCCAGGGTCTTAGCAGGTGGCAGACTCCAAGCTCAGTGCCACTGCCCAAACTTGCAGTAAATGAAAGGTGCTCCACTTGACCTATTACAAGACATGTGGTCAGATGTAGATGGGATATGAAGTGAAATCATGTACAGAAGGAAGGGAGATGCTAGAGCAGAACAAGACTATAATGTTATGAACACCCCAAATATAAAATGTGCTTACATGACATGTAAGCAAGACTTCTCATGTTGAGGGCATCCTTTGCTCTTACTAAATGAACACTGGGGGGAAGTCCCAGGCAATTCATGCCAGCAAGTTTTCCCAAGTGATGCGACAATCACTCTTGCAGAGTTGCCAGGAGAAAGTTAACCGTGTAAATATATGCACACCCACAAAGTTCAACAGAAGAACCTAGCCTCCTGCCAATCACCTTAGAATTTCCCTCTAACCCCATAAGATGCTGGGTGAGTTGCACAAAAGTCAGATGCAAACCAGGAAAGAGAGAAAAAATGGTAAGCAAAAAAGCCCCTTCGTAACTTGGTTAAATTCATAACCTGAGGTGGAAGCTGGGATGAACGGGACCGCAGGAAGGAGTAAAAGGTACAAATATCATCGCCTGCACCGAAGCAACCAGCAGAGGAAAAAAGAGGTGACAAGGCACGCAAACACAACACACGGCTTTTAATTAAGGGCGCAGGTAGAAAAGTTTGAAAAATGCCATTTAGCCCCACAAAGATGTTTTATAGCAGGAACGAATCAGCAGGACACAGCACATCCTCTGCCTTTAAAAGCATAATTCTAGCTAGCCTACCATGAGCTAAAACTTTATGAATTATGAGCAATTTGGGGGGAGGGGTGTCATGACCAAACCATCTTCCCAGCTGTAGAAGGAAGCGAAACAGATGAAGTTTTGTTTCCTTCCCCCAAAAGCATTTCTCATCTCAAAAATTAGTAATACTATATTCTCTCTTTTTTTAGAAAGCGGTAAAACAAAAGAAATATTTGTATTAGCAAATATTGCTGCTAAACATTTTCATCCTTAGGTTTTGGGTAGTAAAAATCCTCTTCTTTTGTGGAACTGTGATATATTGCATATTTCCACCAGATGGGGTCTTCTTCAAAAATAGGTTATAAGTGAAGAGCTGGCTTTGTCTCGGATCAGGAGATACAGAAAGCTGTGACAAAAGAGGCGAAAAAAATGGTGAGACACCCAGTTACTCACTGCATGCTCATTAATGCTTATTCATTACAAAACTTACCACAGCTCTATATTTCACAGGGCTCTGGAGCAAATCCTGGCTTGATGATACAAACTTTACCATGCCCCCCACCACCTCCCAATCCCGTTTTTGTTGTGACAAACTAGAGGACCAGTTTACATTCTTAAGTCCCTTTGTTTAAAGACACTTAAATTTCTGGGGATGACATGTATAATAACTCTACCTGAGGCACAAATACCCTTTAGACAGTGTTCTCTGGCCCCGCGATCGAGCTTGCTTCTTCTGTGCTGGCCTCTCTCATTTACTTACAAGCCCATCCACGGCACCATCAGCCGGCCTGTCCAAGGCCCCCAGTGACGCCGGCCAGTCTCTTGGGAGCTCTCTTAGTAGCACCTTTAGTGCAAGGCCAAGCGGGCGCCTTGCCATCATGGAGTTCTCCAGGACGCCATTGCACCAGGTTATGCTAGTCCGATGAGCAAGCGCTATGTCAACTGAGCAAATGTGGTTGGATGATGCCTTAACTTTCATCTCTGAGTCAGCAGCCACACTTCAGAATGTTGCCAGCTCTACTTTAAGACCACTGCTAGTAGCACCTAAGATTCTACCATATCCAAAACCACCATACACATACTGGGAACTTAAGTCTGCACAACCCTCAAGCTTCGGAGATTACCCTGCCCCACCCCCAGCAACATGGTAATGGGTCCACAAGGCCAGAACTTGGCAAGAGCCCTCCTGTGCTTGGCTCACATCAAGCCCCAGCAAGGCTGGCTGGAACATTTGCCTGCCTGCTTGAGGACTAGGATGCTCGGAAGGTTGGTTGGGGGTCACCAATATGCTTGGGTTGTTCTTTTAGCAATGATTTTGGCTGTTGCTGTTTTTAGTTTGCACTACTTCATTGGAAAGCCACTGTGGTTATCAAATAATTATATCCATTATTGTAACAGCAGCATGCGAGGCCATTCCTGCCACATAGAGGAAGTCCTAGGCATAGCGAATACGTTGGATATCTATTTACCCATGTGGGTGCCAGTCTTGTGTAGTAACTGCTTCAAAAAGGCAGCCATGCACCAGGCTTGGACTGAAAAGAAGGCAGAAGATCTGCCAAAGCTACATTAGAGCTACAAAAGAAACCCCTCTGCTGAGAGCTTGCCATTACGTCTTCACACTGCATTTGTCACTGTAAGGCCAGTTTGGCTTTCTGCATTTCATGAAATGTGTTTTCAATCTCCTGCGACAGGCAGCCCCTCAGGTCATCATCTTCTGTCTATTTCTGTCACGTACAACCCAAATCTCTGAATCATTTACTTAGCACTTGAAAGACCAGTTTGGCACAATCACTTAATCTGTACTTTTTATGGCTTCCTGCTCTTTTATTACGTATGTCAGTACTGGTGAGTATCTCTCCTTCTTCCCACTGGTAATCTGGCTTTACAGGCAACTGGACCTTCCTTGTTGTCAAGGGGCTGTTGATGAACACAATAAGCTACTGTACCATGAGGATGAGGAAAGGTATCTAAGATTGTCTAGCTCAGTTCACTAGCTTAGGGATGAGCAGCAGGCAGAACTCTAGATGTGGACTTCAACTCCCACAAGTCCTTGCCAGCATGACCGACAGTCAGGAATGCTGGAAGCTGAAGTCCAGAACATATCGATATGTTTGGTAACCCACTAGTCACTGGTCTGTGGTATGTGCACCTGACTGAACTTTCATCTGCCTGATGTTTCAGGCTCTCTCATTAGTCTGGAGTTCACTCTGGTCGCTGTCTTTGCACAACTACATTGTCCATTCTGTTATCTAGGTCCTTTAGACAATGATCCAAAGTCCAGATCATCTTGCCCTTAAACAATGCAACACTGCACCTAAACTGAAACAAGCTGCATCAGCGACAAAATGCTGCAGAATGGAATGTTACTCTTCAAGGTTCCCGCCAGCCATGCCTTCTTTCTGGACACTCCATTCCATTCCATCACCTCGTCCACAGGTCTCCCATTTTTTCTCTCCCAACAGTCAACCGGCATTCTGTAGCCAACAAGCACACTGTTCTTGGGCCTGCCCTGCAAGGGTTTTTCCTAGATTTGTTTGCACTACTGCAAACTCTGAATTTCCCCCAAGTCACCTGATTCTTCCTTCACTGGCATGGATGAGACCATTTGGCAAGATAAGAATCCACACTCAGAAAAATGAGTTTACCGTTAGGATATAGGATTGCTCACAAACTGCCTAAGTGTAGGCTTTGTTTTCAGAAACTGACCAAGTCACATTAGAAAGTCAGACTACCTGGAGATGGAATCCTGGACTCAGATCTCAACTACATATACTACTAACCATGAGCCACAACTAACACCTGGACAGCTAAGACAGCAGGGAGCCGGGGAGCTTCATAATTGGAAGACCTGCCATACTGGCTGCAGCTGTACTTATTCGACACCTAATGCTGCCTCTTTCCCTCGCAATGATGCAGCTTGAGCACACCGATAAGCATCTCTACACTCTCCAGTAGTAGCACCCTGGAGAGCTTGGAAAAGTTCTTATCTCAGCCTAACAGACTGAGATCATGGGGGACGAATGGGTTCACTATCTAGGCTCTTTACAAAAAGGGAGGGATATACCGAGAATAATTAAATCAGGAGGCTTGGGTCTTCAGCTCAGGAAATCTCATGGCCCACAGCACAGGGACAGGAAAGGCCCATAGGTCAGTGGCTACGCACAACTTGTGCCGACTGCAAATGGAGCTTACATTTACGAAGGCCGATATTTATTTGCACCACACAACAAACAATTATGTGAACAATAAAAGACAAACAGCAGATGTCACTCTAATTCTTACCTTCGTTTGAATTAGTCCTTTACATGTACCAAAGCTGAATTTGTCAACACCGGAGTCTATGTTTTCTCCGCTGTCCAAAATATCCTTGCCGTCTAGAAGGGCCTAGTGAACAGAAACCATATAAAGCACTTCCACAAAAGTCCGGTTCCATGCACTTTTTATTTAGAAATGCACACTTTTTGTGCACTGCATGCTTTAGCTGCATTCTGAAATTCAGTGAGTGGACAGCGGAAGTCCCAGATCATGAGACTGGAGCAGCAGTTGCTACTGTGTGCCTTAAATTCTCCTTTCCGCTTGCCCGTGTTGCAACATCACCACATTCGGCATAACCTGAATAGCCTCTGCTAGGAGCAACCAGTGCTATGAAGCAGGAAGTGGGGGCACACAGGGGGCGACAGCGGGGAAACATGGGGGAAGCTCTGGCAGATTTGGTGAAGGACACTTTTAGTGTCAGGTCCATTCTGGCCCTGAGCTCCTGAAGGCCAGCGCTCTCTTCTTCCAACTTTCTTGTAGGCCTTTCCAAATGCTCAGCTTGTTACACACAGTAAATACACAACTGCTACTTGTATGTTACTCATGGAACACACCACTGCTTGCATCCACCCCCTCCATTTCCTGCTTGGGGAACAGGGTGGCCCTGCAGCTGCTGCTTAATCTGGGCCCCTGGAAACCCTGCACTAAGGTTTTGGTTTTGTTTGTTTAAATAGCACCTGGAATTCAACTGTTGGGTAAAAACCAGCTTCAAATACTTGCTTGTTCTTCATGCTAGCAATAAAGCTGCCTACCACTTTTTGATTGTTCCAAGTCTTTGGGGCCAACTCCAAACAGACCCATGTGCAAGCAGAGTGTGCTCGGGTACACGCAAGAACAAAACAGGAGCCTGGCTGGACCAAACATGCATCTAGTCCAGAGGGTCACAAGCCCCCCACTGCCACCCACAGCTGCATCTCCCCCACTGCCTCGCATACGACTTTGGAAGATCTGCTGACTTTCGAGAGCAGCTCTTCAAACAAGAGGGGAGAGAAGTTCCCCCAAACCCTTTGAGCACACCATCACACACAGGGGGTGTCTGCAATAAACCACAGAGTAAACCCTAGAATAGGGAATACTTTGGATATCTACTTATGCATACAGGTGCCAGTCTTGCGTAGAATCTGCCTCTAAAAGGCAGCTGTGCACCAGGCTCGGACTGAAAACGGCACACGATCTGTCATACGAGAAAGCTACAAGGGAGAGTCTCATTGCACCTTTATACCACTTTGTTAGAGTTATATCCTGCCTTTTTCTTACAAAGAACTCAACCATGCAGCAAATGGCTTACATAAGGCAAATCATTCTCCTGCTGCTGCTGCTGTCAATCTTATCTCCACAACAGCCCTGTGAGGTAGGTTGGGCTGAGAGTATGACTGGCCCAAAGTCACCCAGTTGGCTCCATGTCCAAGCAGGGACTAGAACCCAGGTTGCCTGAGTCCCAAAACTACACTTTTAACCATTATACCACACAGGTTCTCCCCGTCTCCAACACTGGTCACTGTCATGGCAGTTTGGCCTTCTACATCTCAATCTCCTATGACTAGAAGCCCTTGCATTGTGCAAGAAGCTGTCCAGGGTAAGCATGGCAGACAAATGGTTCGCCCCTGATTTCCCAGCGGATACCACAGGAAAGGCAAGCCATTCTTCACCTCAGCTCTGTGATCATGAGCCATGTTTTCTTTCTTCTGCAAATTGTTTTTTTTCCAGAAAACCATGAAAGCTCACTGTCAAGCTTGCGTTTCGGATCCCCATTTTGAAAGCTACAAGCAGCCCTTTCAAAGTGCCCCAGCAGAACCTCAGAAGTATTTCCCATGATTGCCAAGCCCATTTTTGTGCAAAAAAGGCATTTTATTTTAATACAGGTACACTGTGAAGCTTTGCAGCTGCATAACTGTGGAGTCTGAAAGCTCAAGCTGGGCCATGGCCCAGGGTGAACTTGCTGCCAAGCTGCAGCAGGTAACAATCCCAAACACAGCCCAGAGGTGACTTCAAGGGGCCTCTTGCCCCCTTGGCATCTCTTGACAGCTGACAAAGGCAGTGTTTTCTTTGAACAGAACATTGTTGGGGGGATTTACACCCCTTTCAAGTAAAAATCCTCATTTTTCTTCCCCTTCTTACCCCAGTTAGTCCCTATCCTGGTGCACATTTCATCCTGAGCCTCTAGGTGCTTGGGAAAGCACAAAGGTGAACACCCCTGGTTTTTCTTGAGGGAAAAAGGCTTTCTAAGTGGGACATTCCCCTTTGAATGCCCCAGCCCCAAAGCCCCCACCACCCAGACAGGTTCCCTTTTTCAGGGGCCCTGGAGTTGACAGCTAGCTGTCAAAATTCCCTTTTCTTAGAACAAGAGAAGTGCACACTTGCCCTTTCCTGAGCACCTGGAGGCTCAAGACAAACTGCGAAATATGCACCAGGATGTGGACTGACTTCTGACAAGCACGCTACCTGCTTCTGCTTTGGCAGATAACCCAGGAATGACAAGCAAGTCTGGCTCTCTTTGCTATTTATGGCTAAGAGACCCAGCATTTTAACCCAACAACAAACCATGGGTGATGGCTGGGTTAAAACTCTGGGTTGTTTAACTGAAAAGAATCCAGTATGCCAGGTTCATACATCAAGACGTGGTCATGGGGAACATGTGGGTTGCTTAACAAAGCCAGATGCAAAGTGAAAGAAATGGGTGGGGGGCAGGCAGCATACGCACTCGGGCTCAGCCACGACTAACCCACAACCAGGAAAGTTTTGGGTGCTGGCCTCATTCGGCAATGGGCCTGAGTGGCTCAACAGGAGGGCCCACCTGGGAACCCCAACACTTCCTGAGTTCAATCCTGACCCCAACATGCATGCATAGAATCGCGGCTCATACTACAGATTTGGGGTTTAAAAAGGAAAGGTTTCATATTGTGCCACCCCCACTGCACACACACTATGAGAGCTTTAATCCAGCCAAAGTTCTCTGGGTGACTTACATAAAGCGAACTTAGAGCTCTTGTTAGGCAGCGTGAACTGGAAACGGCAAAAGCAATCTTTTTCCATTGCTCCTAACATGCTGGGATAAAGCAGCAAACTGAGCAGAGCCTTCGGATGTCAACTGGGGGAGGGGCAGGCAAGTGAAAGGGCAGGACTGTGGAATGGACAAGTATGGGAAATGGACTGGGAACCCACAGAAGCAACTGCAGGAGAACCGGGCCACTGAATGGGCAGCGTGCAAAAGCAGCAACTGGGAAAGAAGGCAGTGAGCCAGCAAAGGTGAAACGCTGAGGGGTTGTTAGTTACCTGTAGTTCAGAGACCCCAAAAATGCAGGCCTTGTGTCAGCTTAACTGAGAGCAGGCCCAAATATGTATTGCTGGCGTCTCAGAAAAGGAAAAATACAATAAATTAAAAGCTACCCCAAGTCTCCTATACAGGGTTTAAAGCACAGTTCAATTGATAGGAATTTCTCTTCTTGTTTTGTATTTTTAATGTTTTTTCTCTCTCTCTCTGGCTCATTCTCTAGTTTGGATACAAAGAATGATCAGAAGGATAGAAAGCACCATCCTTCATAATGCAGTGGCATCATTAACTGATTATGCACTTTCTTTAAAAAAAAGAATCAAACTTAGATCAGTTGTGGGCTAGTACAAGGTGATCATTTTCAAATGTGGAGGCATGTGATACTGCACATACGCAACCAACTGCACATGGTACAAAACAGTGGCAAAGCCTTTCGGAATGGGACCAAATTCATACCATTTACAGGCCAATGCATCCTGTTCATGTTCACGTATACAGAGGCACAGATGTGCGGAGACGACTGACTGAAATAATGTTTCTATTTGAGCATGGTAAAACTCTCGTCACCTCCATGCTTCTGCATAACATTTTCCTCATTTGTAGATCAACACACGGTGGTCATACTCAAATATTAAGGCATGCATATGCAGTCAGCCGAAATAAAGCTAATATTTGAGCATGCTATAACATGAAGTGGCACATAAACAACTTGATATGGCAAAAGTTCATCAAACTGGTGAACATACCAGGATATGCACTTCTCAGATGCTCAACACGCTACACATGTGTACTTATAAAATGACAAGTTTGTGCCGACTACACCGAATATTGTACAAGCTTGTAGAAATTTCATATAGAGTCGGAATGTATTTTTAAAAGGGGTTTTTTAATGACATCTGTCTATGCTGAACAAGATTGTTTCATATTACCAAACTTAATGGCTGAATATTTTCCTTTATAGGCGAACAGTGCAGTGGATGGTGGGCTACCCTTTTTGGACATGCAATGCTTTCTAAATATTTTGCACATTTGATTAGCGATTTTAAGAACCGCGGTCATGTCACCTTGCTTGAGACAAGTCACTCTGTGTTATATCATGCTCCACTGGCTGCGCATGTACACACATGCCTCAATATCTTACACTGGTTATGTAACATCACAACTGGTGCAAAATTTGTCCTTTTAGTTAAAAGAATTGTACGGTAACTTGGAAAAATCAAACTATGCAGCTGTGATAGTATCATAGTACATGACAATGTGTTTTAGATGAATTGATTTAGCACTCATTTAAAAATCAGCAGAACATCCGCTACCAATCCAAACTATAAACATTGACACACTCAAGTTTTCAACCACTCTGGCCCAAAATAGCTAGATGGGTAAACATTCAAGGGATACCCTAAAAAAAAAATCCAGTAAGAGGTGTAATTTAAAAGTAGCCTCCTGTAGAAGCACACTCTATTGCCCAATTTAAACTGCCTTAAACAAGGCCATTGTTGCTTGTTAACTACTCCGCTTGGGGTTATGCAAATCAGCATGCCAAATAATATGGATAATTTCCTTCCCTATCATCTGACCCTAGCAAGGTTAAATTATTGGGGTGGTAAATAAACCTCCAAGAATTTAATACCTTTTGTGGGGTTGTGGAATGGTGTGTTAACCACCCCAACAAGCCACCCTTGCTGGGTTTGGATGTCACAAGAAGTCTTCGAGGTGACTTGGACTGTCAACATGATACCTACAGGTGCCACAAACCACTGTGGCTAATGGGCCATAATAAGCCACAGCTGGCTGCTGTGATTGTGCAAACCAAGTCTCTGTCAAGCTTTTATCCTATTATGGCTGATGTGAAGATAGGAACATTTTGTAACAGACAATAGCTATTCAGAGGATTTTGGCAGAACAGTCCAACAGCAAGCATCAATTAATAACACAGCTCCAAAAATATACTTGCCAAGTAAGCAGTGGTGTCAGTCCCTCCCCAAATTCTCCATGAACTGAGGAGAGCGTCATCTCTTGCACTGTGGTGACTTTGCAGAAAACAGAGGCAGGGAGAGATCTGTGCCGTTGTGGGAGAAGTAGGGCAGGCGCCCTTGTTCCCTTCTCCTACCCCTGCTCATGATTACATGTAGAAGAAGGCTAGGAAGTCAGTTAAATTTCTGGACTTCTAGTAAATAGAAGAGTCAACTTTTATCCAGCCATGTGGACACAACTGGCTACAAAGTGCACTGCAAAGGTTAAAAACTAATACTGTGGTGTTCTAGAAAATATTCCTGAAGAGTACCTTTTGATGAACATCTATCCCCAGCACAGCTAAAAGGTTTTCCTGATAATGAGATTCATCCCAAGAGCTTCTTAATGCAGAAGGGTTACTGGAGTGAGTAAGAGTTTTCCATAAGGTTGCTGAGTCTGTGCTTTAAAAGGGAATGTAACACAAATTAATTCATGAACATCGAGCAAGTATCTCACACTAAACCACTTTCCATTCCTATATGTAAGACAGCTGCAAAAGACAGTCCCAAAGTAGCCAAGCAAAGCAAGTGCACCAACTGTGAAAGAAAATAATTAGGCATTAATATGATGATGCAAATTTGCAGAACAGGTCTCAGTGTATTTGTCCAAATTTTTATTGTAGCAAATCCTCCCTGTCAGAGAAATTTCTTTAAAAAACAACTCAAAATGGGAATCTAAACCTTTGTGTTACTGTGATAGGACTGGATTAAACAGGTACATTAGTAAATATTTTTAAAACTTCCTATTATCATAGCAAGGTTCAGGCACAGATGCTTCTTCCCATTGTTCTTTTACCTATGCAAGGACAGCATGTGTGTCCACATAAAGACATATGCAATCTTTAATCAGCTCCAATTAACACCCTATTTGGATGCATTGCCACTGTCTGGATAGTTACATTTCTCTGGGCTGCTAGTCATCAGAGAACTGCAGCATGGAGGGGTGACTTGCATGCATGAATGAGAGATTAGAGAGCTCACCTCTGAGCACAGTGCTTTCAGTGGAGTTAGTTCACACATTCAGCCAAGCACCATTAATTGTCACACCCCATGAAGAGACGGGAACTCAAATCATTCACAGGCTGAGGCCCAAAGCCTCACCATATGTCTCTTGCATCATCTGCAGGCCAAAAAGGAAACCTCTGAACTGCTCCTGCTGTACAGAACAGGGGATGAAGCTTCTGGGTCAAGCCCACCACTGAGCTGGAATGTGAAGTTCAGTTTATTTGTTTAAAAGAATGTATATCCTGCCTTTTTGTGAGATGCGATATTCAGGGCAGTGTACAAACACAGATAAGACTGTGAGAATACAAAACTGAAATCCCAATCCCCCAAAATACCTACCCTGTCCAAGAAGTCCTAGAAACAATGCTCAGGCCACATCACAGCTGGCAGTTCCCACTGCGGAACGTTACTGATCCAGCTGCCCACACAAACCCCTGACCAGGAAGCTTAACCCCAGCCATAGCAACCCAACCAATGGCTGCAGCACAGAAACCGTCATGGAATTCTACTTGGTAGAGAAACCACATGCAAGTGCTATTATCACAACAGGCTGAAGCCATCTTTCTCCCAAATTAGCCATGGCAAAAATATTATCAGGTCTGGATGATGGGTATTGGCTCCCATGTGTGAGCGCAGCCTAAGGTTATCCATGCTAGAGAAAGTCAAAAGCAGAAGAAGAGGAAGAAGAAGAGGAAGACCAAATAGAAGGTGGATTGACTCCACAAAGGGAATCACAGCCTTGAACGTAGGGCTGTTGTGGATAGGAAATACTGGAGGACTTTCATTTATAGGGTCACCCTAAGTCACAGATGACTTGATGGCACATCTTCTACAACCATTATTCAGTTTTAATCCAGCTGGTCTTTTACCCAGTCTTTAGAAAAGACTGATTTCCATACCGAATGGGACACATATATGTGTTTAGATGGAATTAGGTAAGAGCTGGATTGAATTCGTGTGCATTTTTGAAATGTTAAATGATGTGGATTTCCCAATTATACACATACAGCAGGTGAGGCAGATCAGCTCGCAAGAAGATTAATGCGAGGCCTCCCAGCAACGCTGCCCTTATGAGAGACTCGGGAGTAAACCTTGACTCATGGGAGGAGAGCTTAGCTCCTGGAAGCAGCAGTAACTGCTGGGAAATCAGCTCAGCCAGTGGGGAAGAGCTATCACTGAAACAAAAGTAAGACCACGTGCAAGAGACAAATCGGAAGGCAACAGAGATCCTGCTTTCTCTATGGGCCCCCGCCATTCCATGCTACCACAGCTCTAAAACGACGGGTATAAGAAGTAAGAGGAACCCTGCTGGGCAGACCAAGGTCCGTCTTGCCCAGCATTCTGTTCACACCGTGGCCAACCAGCTGCCCACGGGAACCCAACTCCCCCATGAATTTGTCCCATCTTCTTTTAAAGCCATTCAAATTGGTGGCCATATCTCTATCTTGTGAAAATGAATCCCACAGTTCTACCTGTGCACCGTGTGAAGAAGCATTTCCTTTGATCTGTTCTGAATCCTCTACCAATCAGTTTCGTGGGATGAACCTGGCTTCTAGTCTTGAGGGAGATCAAGGCTGCCTAGCCACCTTCTCCACACCATTCCTCATTTAGTACACCTCGATCAAATCTCCCCTCTCACCCTTTTTCTAAGCAATACAATCCCAAATGCCATAACCTGCACTCATAGGGGAGGGTTCCTGCCTCTATCATTTTAGCTGCACTTTTCTACCCATTTTCCAATACTACAATATCTTATTTTAGGTGCAGTGACCAAAAAAAGAATTGGCAAAAGTGCACAAAAGGGCTACTGACATTCTCAAGGGGTTGGAGCAACTCCCTTATGAAGGAAGGTTACAACATCTGAGACTGTTTCGCTCAGAGAAAAAGTGACAAGGGGAGACATAAATTAGTCATGGTGTAACGCAAGCAGATTGGGAGTTATTTTTCTCAGTCTCTCATTTTCTGCTACATCTTTACATGTTGCAAAAACTTCAGCAGCCTCTTGTCCCTCCCACAACCCAAATCCATGCACCCTGTGTATCCAAACGATAATTAAACAATTACCAAGGTTGTTTATTTGTACATTCAGGAATGTTTGCATCTTCCACTTTTGTATCAAGAACCTGCTCCAAGCTGCTTATTTGCTCCAAGAACTGAGGTACAGGAACTTCGGGAAAGCTCATTTTAATGATATCTTCAGAGCTGCAGACAGCCTAGAAAAAGCAAAGGAATGCTAGTTCATTTAGGCAACAGCCACAGTGTTTTACACAGGAACAAAACATACAGCTTGAGAGTAGACACAGGGAAGTATTTCTTCTTACAGGGAGCTTTGGTCTTGTTTGAACAACGCAACCCTGTCCCCTTCAGTCCAGAGATTTAGCAATCTTGTGTACTCCAAGATTCATCCAGAGAAAATAGATTCCATGGGATTCTAATGCATTAAGCCCACCCATCCAAGACTATCTCAGAGTTGCCTCTCTTCATCTTTATGTGAATCTGCTTGTCTTCATATATTTCCAGCCAGATTGATAATGCGATAAAGAAATCGGTTACATTCTCACTTAATGGATCCTTCTGTTCTCAATATCTTCCTCAATTCCCTGCAGTATCTTGGAAGTCCCTATCTGCTATACCAACATCTAATTATTTTTCTTGCTCAGTTACCTGAAGAGCCTTCTACCTTTTCACCCAATGCAGCTTGTAACTAAGGTAGATTCAGGACTACCTACCTACTTTTGCGTTGGTGTTTAGAGTTACTAAAACATAAAAACATAAAAACGGATTTGGACATCATTTTCTTTTTTACCTCACAAATGAGGTCGCATGGCCTCATGTGCCCACAGTCCTATCTAATCCTATTGGTTGTGACAAGTGCAATCCACATGATTTCACTGATGTCATGACACAACATCCAATGGGATGCCAAAATATGTAAACAGAATCACATCAGCCGTCACAATCAAGAGGATTAAAAGTGCAGTGTGCACAAGCAAGGTAGTGAGTGAGGGGGGACAAAGAAGGACCTTGAAGCAGCAGCTGCTGAAGCTGGGGAAGAGGGGGAACTCCCCGCTGCTCAGGTGAGTATGGCGATGTAGCCTGTCCCACCTTGCCATGCTATTTTCAAAGCAAATACAGGAATCAGACATGATTTGACACAAGCCTACTTACAACCAAAGCAAACATGGGGCAGCTGGAGAAACCCACTCTTTACTCACCTGTATCGAGAAGGCCCATTCGAATTAAAGCAATGCTTTTCTACTCAAGGACTGCTCACATGCATAAGGGTTAGGCAAAAACTCAGCGTTGTCCAGTATCAAGTGATGACTCCTCCCACACAGCCTGCAACACCTTCTAAAAGCTGTTCCCACCATAGTTCATAAGTGCATCCCTTTTTTTAAGAACAGAGGCTGTCTGTGGCTGTACCTCTGCAACCCAAGATACCAGGAAGATCCAGCTACCATGCGGGCCCATCACAGGAGGGCCATTTGGCCTGGACCTCACGTTTGGAGAGGGCCTCAATTTTCAAGGTGCTGAGCAGCTCAGGAACTATTGCAGTTACACTACGGGGCAGGACCACTGAGTAGCCTTGCAATGCTTAACATAAACTGTGGCATTACAAAAAAGCTAAACTTACCTGCCATTTGCACAAGTTGGGGAACATAAGGGGAAAAAACTAGGCAACCGCTTGTTACATTAAAAAGTGCATTACACGTTATTGCACTATCATTTTTGTTTTAAGTGTAAGCATTCAAAATATAACAAGTTTCTGGAACACTGTTTTGGCCTTTCTTCATTTTTAATACAATGGTCTGAGCCTCTGTAGTTCTCTGAGAGGCCTGCCCATCATTAGAGGAACAGTATGCCTGTAATGTTCCTCAATCACTCCCACTGCAAACAGAAGCCACTAAATAAGAAACGGACACGAGACCCAGCAATGCCTTGTTTAAACTGACTTATGAACTCAGACTTCTGACTTATTTCTCAACAACAAGCCAGAAAAACAATCCAACATATCCTGGATTATTTCTGTGGCTTGTCAAGAGACATACAAACCAAAGGTCTGGATTTGCATGTCATATTAAACAAGCCATGGTCCAAAGGCCTGTGGCTTGTTTAGCCACACCTGCTTGCAGTGGGCACAGTCAGGCAGCAGGCAGAAACTTGCTGCAGGTACATAACAGGTCTGGGTTTCGGAGGAGTCCTGGTTTCACATGACATGTAAGCCAAGCTACTAAGTCCTAAATAATACAAGAGTCAACTTTACCAGCTGAATTTAATTTAAAGCCAAGAAATACAAAATGGTCTACATAAAAACTGTACGAACAGAGATGTTTTGATTAGGAAAAGACAGCTCAAAAGTGAGGAGAAGCAGGTGAAGAATATATGGGCTTTGCTATTTTCCTCATTACATGAACAAAAATTTTCCACCTCTATCCTGCTCAGTTGCACCAAATTAAGCCATGGTGTAAACTAAAAAGAAGAACTGGTATTGTCACTATTGCAAAACGAAGCAAGCTACTTTCTCACTTCCGCATTGCAAATTACTTAATGATGACACCATGAAAGCAACATGTATGACTGCATTCTTAAATGGGAGAAAAAAGAAGCAGGATGGGGATAGATTATTCTTAGCATATCAAAACATACCTTCGCTGGAACATTAGCAAAAGTTTCTCTTCTACCGTGCTCAGATGCTTTGGAAAACAACAGTCTGACTGAGGTAGTGGAGTGAGCCGCAGCTACCTCTGCATCATTCATATCAGTTTGTTTTTCATGAGACTTCTCTAAAGAATCTGGAGTGTTGCTTAAGTTCTCCATCTTGACCTCACTGAAACCTTCGAAATCACCCCAGCTGTTGTTGGACTCTGCTATGCTGGTATCTGAAGGACTCTCCAAAGATGCTTCACAAATTCTTTCACTGCCACTTTTGCTGGGAAGGCTTTTCTGAACCATGTTAACTTCCAAGCTTTCATCAAGATCTCTCTTTTCACTTAAGTGATGTACATCAGCTCCATCCATGTTTTCTCTGAGAGAAATGGCACACATCTCTGCTGACAGGGCTTTCAAAACGGACTGGCCTGAAATCTCCACAGCATTGTGCCCCTCCACCAAATTCCGCCCCTGCATTTTTCTCTTATGGCAACAATGAGGACTCATTCAAGAACATCGACCAACAAAAAAGCCACAGAACACATGGCTGATGGTAAACAGCAAAAACATCAATGTTTCAAAAACATAACTGGGTGCTTCATTGTGCCTTGAATGCTGATCGGTAAGACAACACGTTCCTCAGTGTCTCCCCAAGTCATCCATGCAATGCTTGTTTTTCCGTCTTAACTTGCTTCCAATTCAGGTTTTGGTCTGCAAGGGAAGGGTTATAAATAAAGACCACTCTGATACTACTGTGTGTAAAGCTTTACAAGAGATAAGCTATGAGGCAAGAAAAATGTTCTTGCTTGGACAAATGCATTCCAATGTGGTGCAGTGAAAATGAACAAGGTAAAGAAACGGAAACCTAAAGAAACACTCTTTCATATTTTTATCTGCTGAGGCCGGCATCTCTGCAACAAGTTTCACAAATAGCAACCTCACGTATGACACAGCTAACCAGCTTTGAAACAAAGGTCATTTCAAAAACAGTTTGATATAGAATTGGGGGAAGGGAGCAGCTGCTCGCTAAGCAGACAGTTCCTTTGGATCCAGGCGTAAGGATATGAAAATCCTTGCAATCCCTGTGCCCGATTGTTGCTGCTCTGCTTAGTTACTATCCTGGTTCGTGGAAAAACCACAGTTTGCCATTATATTTTAACAGGTAAGTCATGATTTGTGTTTGCCAAGCAAACCAGGACTTGCTCCTGGCTTGCAGGACAAATGTGACCCCTAACTTATTGGCCTGTATATGGCAGCAAACTATGCTTTGCTGTAAACCAGGGGCTAACTAATTAACTGGAATGCACAAGCAGAGAAGGAGCAAATTCTGTGGGAGCCAAGCCACTGAACTGCCTATGAAGATATTTGCACAAGAAATCTGAAGTTGTTTAATCAACTCTCCATGTCATTAAGGATCCCTGAACATAATGAGCATCTCAGAGTATAACGCCCAGAATTCTTTGGGAGAATATGATAGTTAAATGTTATCTAAAATTGATATAAACTTTCTATATAAATGTGCTTTAAGTCTCCCAAATTTTTCACCTTTCAGGTTAAAGATTCCATACGCTACTATGGAATATTTAAATAGCTGAAGTTGCCAGGAAGAAGTGCATTTCTTAAGATTTAGTATGATTTTAGATTTAATGGCAATAATCAGGGGGGAGGGGCTGAGGGATGGGCATGTCTGCTAGTATTACAATATTTCTTCATCACTACATAGGATTTTTGAAAAGCAGATCTGAAACAAACTCTGGATTTTATCAATGTATTTGAATAGATCCAAACATATCCAATACATCCAAACATATTTGCATTACAGCAAGTGCAGCATTTGTCAGTGACAAATATCACATCTGACAATAAGCTACAGAATATGTTGCCGAAAGGCCGGCTTGTTTCAATTTAAATTTTCTGTGTAGCTTTATTGGAGACTAAAACCCTTGGCCTCCTGCCTAACACTCTCTGAACTCACTTCACAAGGGCGCAGGGAGAATCTACTTGTGATGGCAACTCTACCCACACACAAATCAAGTGCATATGCCATGCACAGAGGATAGCATATAAAAGTTTTAAATAAATAAATGAAGATTTCAGTCCACATTTTAGGAATGACAACCTGTGCTCAGTAGTATGTATCCACTTGAAAAGGGCCCCAGAGATGGGACATACACAAGCTAAACTCTACCATTAGATGTCTAATAAAGTGAACCCAAGAAAGACAGAAATGTTTTGAGTGATGCCCCCAAATAACAAACATATCTGCCCTGAAGTAACTCCCTCTGCATTCAAAACAGTTTATTATGCAGTAGAAACACCTGAAGCCTGAGTCTGCAATCCTAGAAACACTCCGCTGGCAGTAAGTCTCAATGGGATTTACTTCAGAGTAGAACATATGCTGTTTTCATATCACAACTTTCTAAAATGGTTTAGAAATAAGATTCAGCAATCAGACAATGCTTTAAAATAAGTGTTGCTCCTTAAATATCCTGTATATGTTTAATTAATATTAAATGCCACAAAGATCAACAGGCCTTACTCTCAGGCAAGCAAACAAATGCAGCCATAGCCACAGTTCAGGAGACAATTTTCTTTGTGAAAAGAGTACTCTCATACTCACCAAACAAATCCCATTTGGGAGACTCTTTGGAGCAGTTTTATACTGCTAAAAAGCTGGCCCCCTCCAAACAAAGGCCCTGTTAACAAGGTTTACAAATAGGTTCCTGATGCTTCGGATTCTTCAGGAACCAGTCAGCTGTCCCTTAAGCAACCTTGGTTTTAAGGCACTACTCAGGGCTAGTAAAATATTCCCAGTCTGCACAGGCAATGTGGCACAGGAGGACACTGGACTGGGCTCAGTGGGTGACTTGGGCCAGCCAATGACTCTCAGTCTAACCTACCTCACAGGGTTGTTTTATGAATAAAACAGAGAGGAGAAGGATTATGTGCAAACCACCTTGGGATCCTTGCAGGAAAAAAAGTGGGATGGAAGTATAAAAATATCAAACACAACGGAGACTAGCAGCATGCCCCTGGCACATGTGGTTTTCGGTGTTTTCACTGATAGGGTTGCAATTCCTGTTTGCATTTTTACATGACAAAGGACCACAAATAATTTAAGCACAGAGCTACCCAAGCCCTGCCATTTGACTAACTGTAAAAGGTAGGGAAAAACAAGTTCCCTTATCATCACACACACACACACACACAATGGAAAATCTTGGGTATATAAAGGGTGATGCATACTTTTAAGTGGTAGAAAAATGTCTGAGAAACTCTACTTGTCTTCCCCAGCTTTCTGTGGTTGCCAATTGCCAACAAGATTCTACTGTGAACCAGTATTGTAAAAGTATCTGTACACACTGATCAAAAGATGGGACCATGTCCCCATATTACGTAGGATTCATTACATGAACAAAAACAAGCCAATTATATTTGAGGAGGTAGCTCTTCAGCATCTCATTGTTTTGGGGATTGCCAGGCCATCTCTGCTGCCTCTGATATTTACAATTTACAAGAGAGGAAGTGGCCACCAAGTTTTCATATGGGGATGGGAGAACTTGGTTTCAGCATACACAGGAAGAGAACCAGCTGTTGCCGGAAGATGATGTCATCTCCTTTCAACAAATCCTAAAAAATTGGAGTAGACTCTGTGGGCTGATTTGATACAATGAGTCCACATAAATGCTTAGTTTATGGTTTACTGCTGATGGCACAAGTTCTCCCAGTTGTGGAGATAATATGAGGTGAAAGAAATGAAATGCCTGCCTACTCAATCCGCTTGCATTGCTAAGACAATTCAGGCTTTTGATGATCCTTAAAATTCTTCAGACAAATTATGGAGAAGGGCTCTGTAACAGAGCACATAGTTTGCATGCAAATAACGTTAGCCTCATTCTCGGGCATCGCTGCTTAAAAGGATTTCATGTAAAGCACAGCCAGATCTTAAGAGACTTCTTTCCCTACCTCCTAATCTGCCAAAGGAAGGGGTATCTGACCAATTTCTTCACCAATTTTTTTTGGTAGCAGCCACCATTTCTCTCTACTCCCTGTCCCCTAACATACACAATCAATCCAAGATAGGAGGATACGAAATGGCAGCCAGTTTGCTGACTTTGCCAAGAAAAATAGCTTTGGGGGAAAAAAGAAAAAATGTGCTGTAAGTAGTGTAGAACCCCAAGCCACTGTTGGAATTTATTCCTCTTTCTCAAGAATATGCAACAAAATTGTCTTTCCTACCCTCCAGCTTTACTACTAAAGCAGGGGAGAGGAAGTTTCAGGGGGCCATTTCCAAATCTCTAGTTTTAAATAACAAACCTGGACACAGTCACTCTGCAACAACTTTGAACAGCTTTTGCCAATACCTAGGAATTTGAACGTTTCTTTCCAGCCCAGGTGTTAAGGTTCCTGTTTACCTTGTTTAAGGGCAGAAAGCACCACATTCTATATGGATGCAAAACTTATTTTAATATGCACTCCGGAGGTACTAACAATAGTGAATTAAAGTAGGGCACGCTGAGTGAATGTGCACAGATCTGTACAAAAATAATAACTAGTCTGAGCATGGCAACTTTCACTACCAGTCACAAGGTCTGTACACATTATTGGCGTCATCCGTTAGATATCAATTTAAGGATTAGGAAGGTGGTATTATGCAAGATCCCATGCTCTCAATGTCTAAAGAGATGCTTTCCTTTAAGGAAATTTGAAAGAAAATCATATCTTCCACTCCTGGCCTACCTCATTTGGCTTCACATACTCTCAGTTTTACACAAAGAAACAAGCCAAGAGAAAACCTGCGTGGATTATCTGTAAGCTGGTAACTCCCAATATTGTAGAGATGAGCTAAAGAAGCCTCAATAAAACTAATGCTTGAATTATTAAATGAGAAGGAACATAGATGGGAGGTATTTTAAGCATTTTTGAGGAAAACAAACAGCATTAAACATTTGTGTATGTGGGTTGGGGGGTGAATTATGGTCAGTAATGAAGTTTTCATTGTTGAGAGCAATGGAGCCCAAACATATAGAAGTTTCAAGAATGAGCAGAAAACAGGAAGCCCCTCCATTCAGATTTCCCCACAAGGATGTGCTCCGAAATGATAACCTTTTTTTTGCTATCAGCATTTGCTAAAGATTTCCACAAGCAAGTGCAAGCATAATCCTGCACATATTTGATATAGTTCATACAAGTGACGTTCAATTGACCAAGCCTTAACTCTTAAGCACAGTACGACAGATAGACATTTAAATGCTCTCTCCAACTGTATAAATGTTTGCTTGGCACAGGAATGCACTGAAGAAAAACAAGCTTACTTCTAGGTGAAACATGTTACAAGATCAAGCCAGCACTGGCCTTGCACAAAAACAAGCCCAAGATCACACCTAAAAGCAGAACACCCCTCAGTCTCCAGACCCCATGCAGACAGAATCCTGTTTCCCAGCATCATTGTGAGGATCACCAAAAGCACAGATGCAAACATGACCCCAAAATGCTAATATTGAGTAGAAGTATTTAGCAAACTGGGATTCCGATTCCTACTCACCCACAAACTTTGCTTCAAAAAAGAATTGACTAAATTCATGGAGAATAACAGTACTAGCAACACTAGCTACTACTACTACTAAGTACTAGTCTTGATAGCTATATTCCTCCTTTATGAGGAAATCTACAACTTCTGGGATTGTTTTGCATAGAAAAAGAAAAGGGAAGCATGACAGAAGTGTACAATATACACTTGGTGTGAAAAATGCAGGGTGGCGTGGAGGGCATTTCTCTCCCCCAATACTAGATGCCAGTCGGTCATTTCTTGAAGCTGATGGATGGGAGCTTCAGGAAAAATAAAAGGAAGGATCTCTTCACACATCATGCAGTCGACCTATAGAATTCAATTCCATGAGATGGAGTTATGAGCACCGATTAGGATGGCTCTAAATGGAGGGAAAGGCTGCTGATGGCTCTATCCTACCTCTAGTATCAAAGACAGTATGCCTATGTGCACCAGCTGCTGGGGAACATGGGCAGAAGGGTACTGTTGCACTGGTGCCCTGCTTATGCATTCCCATGGGCAGCTGTTTGGCCATCGTGTGACCACATGCAGGACCAGACAGCCCCCTGGCCTATTCCACAGATCAAGCCTCCCTCAAAGGGCTGTTGTAAGGATAAAAAGGGGAGGGGGAATAAAGCACATCATTCCGAGCTATTTGGAGGAAAGGAAAGATAAACGTGTAGTCAGGCGCTAAAAATAAAACTGTGCCCATGACAATAAAGGCATTAAATGTTGCCTTGTCAGCTGCTCCCTAGTCATGAATGCAACCCCCATCGCACCCTTCGCCTTCTGTGAGGAAAGGCGCTCGAGCTCCCCGGCCTAGGAGGCAGGTGGGCCTCCCAAAGCCGAGTGTGAGGGGAAGCCTCCAACCGCAACAGGAGGCGAGAGACGGACAAAAGCGCCTTACCTGCTCCGCCTCGCGCACCTTTCTTCCCGGCAGCCGCCACCGCCTCTGACCAAGGCTCGAAAGGACAAAGGGGCGGGGCGAGCGGCAGGTGCCGGCCTGTGTCCCAGGCGAAAACCCGATTGGCTGAATTCGCCAGAGGGGGCGGAGCTCAAAGCAGCACCAGGCGCTCTTGGAGTGTTGGGAGAGGGAACCTATCGGGGGGTGTGGATTAGGCTGCGTGCCAATGCGGGGATGGGGCGGAGCTACAGGAAAGAACCGAGCTCGCCTTGTTCCTGCAGTTTCTCTTCCGCGGTCCCTGTTGGCGGTCCGCACTCGGTCGTCTTGACCGTAGAGATAAAAACACTTAGAGTGATATTCAGGCTAAAGTTTCTTCTTTCGGAAACTTTGATGAAATATTAGAATAATAAACCCAGAAAGAAGATCAGATTGTAGCTTCTGTTTCCCCAACACGCCTTCTTGGAAGAGACAGTTTTTCACCAAGTTTCTCCAGAAAGGGACCATTATACCAGTACTGATGCGGGACAGGGAGACTGGAGCATACAAAGCCTTGCAAAGTAGAACTTAAGTTGCAGTGTACAAGTTGCTGGTTGAAGTTGAAGATGAAGCAAACAAACAAAACTTCTCTATATAGTTCTCTCTCGAGTTGCTACAAGGAACAACTCAGCTAAAATGCCCCACCCAGGCTAGGCATATCTTAATTGTATGCGGAAGCTTTCCATTCTCTCGACTTGCACGCAGACGCGTTGCTTTTTTATTATTTATTTAAAACATTTCTATGCCGCCCCCATCGCAACAAAGCCTCGGGGCGGCTCACAGCATAATTAAAACATATAAGTAAGAATTAATACTATTAAAGATTAAAAAGCCCGGTAGCATCTCGGCTTAAAAAATTTAAAATCCTATAAATACCATAATAAATTAACAATTAAAATAAGTTTTAATTAAAAAGGTCTTGGCCTGGCGCCGAAAAACAAATAGCGCCAGGCGGACCTCTCTGGGGAGCGCATTCCATAGGTGGGGCGACACCGCAGAGAAAGTATTTAAAAAAGATCATATCCCCCCTCCCCACCCCCCACAAGGTAAGCCTTCAATGAGAATGCATATGAGTCCCCATCTTCCTGATAGCTTTTGCTTCTAGGTAGCGAACCTACAGCCCGAGTAGGTTAGCAGGTATGCTACAAATCCGAATTTTCCAATAGGCTTGCATAGCCAGCTGTCTCTTCGGAGAGGAGGAAGTCTAAAGAACCCCGATGGTGCAACTGCAGGCAACAGGCTTCATTTTCCTATCTCTATGTGTCGCAGCAAAGTAGAACCGCGGGGCGTGGCCTAAGAAAGAAAGAAATCCAGTGGGCGGGGCTTCCTGGCCATTTGTTCAGCTCCATGGTAACCCTTCCGAACCCTGTGAGTCGCGCTTCATGCGGCTTTCTCGCGTCCTGCATCCCTCTCCTTTGCCTGACCCTGGCATAGTTCAGAGTAAAGCTGCCGGTTTTGGTCAGGCAGATATTCAACGGGTGGAACTTTACCTGACATGCACGAGGAGGAATGCTTTCTTTGAGTTTTTGTCCGCCAAAGCTACAAGAGTGTAGGATGCCACCCCGTGTGGTCACCCGTAACCAGCACCACCACTCCGAGCTTGGAGGATTATGGGCGTCATGGAGGGTGGGAGGAGTGCCGAGGCGAGGACGGCCTGCAAAGCAATTAGGCGATTTCCAGAGGCTTATCCTCACAGGGCCACCCAGCTCCAAAAAGATCTGTACCAGTTGCGAGGCTGGTGAATTTGGATTCCCAGCTTTAACCTTGGAGCACTTCTCCAAGGTCAGAGCTGGAACTCCGAATTACCCTCTGACCATCTAGATAATGCCTGCTGGCCATAGGCCAACACCCATAGCCAGGTAACTAATAATGGTGGCTGTGTATGCGGTGTTTGGTTACTTATGGGTTGCCAGTTTAAAAACAATGAGCAACAACACTGGCCCTGTATCCGTATCTTTTTTTTTCCGATTTATGTCCTGCCTTTTTCCTACAAAGGGCTCAAGGCAGCTTACATCTCCTCCTCCATCTTATCCCCACAACAACAACCCTGTGAGGTAGGTTGGGCTGAGAGTCTGTGACCGGCCCAAAGTCACCCAGTTGGCTCCATGGCTGAGCGGGGACTAGAACCCAGGTCATCTGAGTCCCAGTCCCACGCTCTTAACCACTACACCACACTGGCTCTTTCAACCACAGTTCACCGCACAGGAATTAAAGCGCTTCCCACCCAAGAAAATATTTGCCAGTTTAATTTTTTTGTTTCTTTCAAACTCCTGCCAAAAGCAAATGAGCGTCCACTGACTTTAGTTGTCTTTTAAATGTTGCAGACCTGTTGGCACAGAGGAGACACTGAGGGACAACCTGGATACTTTGGGGGAAGTGGTGCCTTGTTGCCCCCCCACCATCTGGGATGCCCCCCACTCTGTGCCCCTGCTCCAAAGATGGTCTTTTGTCTGCAGAGTCCAGCCAGTGTGAGTGTTTTTGCAAGGCTGCAGCTGGAACTCCAATCTATCCTATCCTATCATAGACAATGTCAGGAAGCCAACGTGCTTAGACAGAAAAAAAAAGGCTCACAACCCCCAAAGGCTCACAAACAGGTAAAGCCAAGGCTGCCTGGGCATGCTGGAAATTATAAGGTGGTTGTGATCATAAAGAATCCCTCTTCAGCCATGGAAAGTCTTCAGTGAGCAGACTTTGGAAACTTCCAGATGCGTCTTTTGTTGTGCATTTGCCTATTTTCACTGATTTTTTTTCACAGGGTTCTGTTTTTAATTGTTCCTGTTCTTAAAATGAACTGCTCACCCCATTTTTAAAATGCCTGTTGTCATTGCCCATCATGTCACAAATTAGAAGGACAGTTTCCCCAAGAGACTCTAGGGACAGGGCAAAACACAGCTTGGGAAGGACAGTGTATCCAATTCTACCACCCTGCCTACCAGGCAATGCAGGATTCCTGCTTTTTTGCCCCTGGTCACCCAAAGTTCAATTAAAGGATGCTTTGCTGAAAACACCTGAAATATCTTTAGTGTTATAGGTACCAGAATTGCAGGATTAGCTTTGAGATACCAGGGACTAAATTTACTGGACGGGTGTGGACAACCCAATAAGACACACGGTAAAGAGAGTTGTGCAACATGTTCTATAAGACACTCCATCCAAAATGTGCCTGAACAGTGTAGTCTCAGCAAGTGTACATGCCAAAAACGAACATGGAAGCATTTGTAACATTTACTTTCCAAGCAATGGAAGAGAACCTTTACAGCAGAATCCTCCAAAGCCTTTTTGGGGATGCTCATTCCCATACTTTCCATAGTATGGATAACCCAGAGGCACAAGAATCCCCTGTGATTAAAAAAAACAAAACAAAAAAAAGGATCATCTGAAAAAGGTGCTAGGGACCACTTCCTTTCTGGCAGGGTCCCTAGGAGCCTGGGATGGTCACACGTCCCAAAGGTCCCCTTGAACCTACAGGTTTCCCTGAAATTATAGCACCTCAAGGAGCTGCAAAACTTAGGTGAATTCCCATTGACAGGCTCGATGAATTTAATTGAATGTATATAAATTTAAATAAATAGGTTCTCATGAACTGTCAAGCTCAGAGCTCTCTTTTTAAAGTAAGATCTGGAGAGTCCACATACCATGCACACTGTTGTGACAAAAGAGAAGTTGCTAAGCCCTTCCAAATCCCACTTCAAGAGTCCGACCCATGTCAAACTCGGCACTCTAGTTAAGAGAAAATCCCCAGTTTTGAAAGGATTCCCCATCATGCATTGAACAGGCCCAGCTAGAAGCCATGGCTTTTCAAGATGGCTTATCACTCCAAAATAAGCCACCGACAAACCTAGCCATGGTTAGCACAACATGTCAGCCCACTGTGGCTTATAAGCCATGGTAGTTGTTGTGTTGTGTGACCTCACTGTGCAACACCATCATACAAATCGCCTCTTATTATGCAGATGTCCTCACAGTGGGTGATGCTGAAAGACCACCCTGTGCGGCAGCAAGGCAGGGTCCCCTGCCAGAGCCGGCCTAGCAATGAACTTGTTGCTGGGGGCAGGCAGGGGACTCAGATCTGCAGCTTCACCCTGTTCCCCACACCGGGTGATCCAGTGCAGGAATGTAGACAGCTGCTACTGGAACATGTCCCAAAACAGATGCAGAACATCTCTTAGCTTGAGGACCAGACTGGATTTTGCAGAGAAGTTCTCAGGGCCATATTCCTGGGTAAGAGGGACTGACCAAGAGGCAAGGTCCTTCTGGTAAACTGACCCCCATCGGGCCAGCTTTCACCCCATTCTGAGAGTCTGCCCATTCTATCCTATTATCCATCCTATCACAGTCCTAAAAGAAGCAACCATTTTGAACATTGGCATTTAGCACAGCACAAGGCAGCTGTCCAGGGAAAGCAGGACTTGGATTTGGGCTGTCACCCTAGGCCCATTCACAAAGCAGCTCAGTCCTCTTGGATACTGCATGGCTCACTTTCTGCAAGAAACATTTATTGTGTATTTGTGGTCATGGGATCCTCCAGGTACCTCACATGATCTCCTCCTCCTCCTCTCCTCCTCCTCCTCCTCCTCCTCCTCCAGGGCTCTTCTATGTTTTATAGCCATTTCTGCAGTTTTTAAAGCAAAGAAGAACAGTATTTCCCCAGATAGTATTTATTTTCCCATTATGCACTACCAAAAATTACAGGCTTTTTACACTTCCTCTCTTTATCAGAGCGACATGTAATGGAACACGTAAGAACATATAGAAAGGCAAAGAAGAAAAATCCCTAGGGGAAAGACAGACAGACAGACAGACTTGTGTAGATGGGTGTTTTTCCATCTGCAAGGAAAACAGAGCAACCTCGGTAAAGCACCAGGTTAAACGCATCGGGTGGAGAAGGGCCAAGCAGGCATGGGAGAGCTGGCGCATGTGCCTTTTGAAGCGGAGTTGCTGCTGCAGGTCTGGAAAAGACTCTCCAGCCACGCAGCAGCCAACAGAAAAGGCGGAGCCAGAGGAGAGCAACAGAAGAGTCATGCTTCAGGCAACAGGCCAACGC